TCCCTACACAACCTTGTGCACTTGCAATTCTTTCCCCCATGTTACTAGCACTTTATATGCCTTGTATATCATTTGAGGATAGCTTTTGGAGACATTTGTGATTAGAGATCTTCAGCCAGTTTCTCCTGCTTGATACTTCTGTCTGCTGCAGTTTGACTTCAGGATTTGTGGACTAGATCAGTCAGAGAGGAAGGAAATGTCCAAGATGCTGGACTTACTGTACTTATAAATGGAATAAATATTATGTATAATGAGAGGGCCACAACTCTTATGTCTGTTCTGTCCTCTATTAGTCATTCATTCTCCCATTCATGTTCCTCTTATTTCTGCATTAATAGTTATTTGGTTGGAGATGAGGAAGTGTCAGTTTCACACTGTTGGCAACTGTGGCAAACCAAGGGGTTTGTTTTAAATGAGAAACTGCCTTCCCCTCCCACACCTCCCAATTCTTCCACACTCCCCAGGGTAAGTGGTATTTAGTTTCCCAACTCTTGCAGAAGACTTGCTCTTTCTCCTACTGTTCACAAAGGGTCACGCCCAGAATTAGAAGACTTCAATGACTCCAGGCCCCTTAGAGAGTTACTTTGTACACCTTTTCATTATCCTAGCCCTAACTAGTTGCTAACCAAACTTTTTGTCATCTTAGATTTTAAGAAAAGTTCCATCAAATTAGTGCTGATTTTTTTTTTTTCCCTGCTGTGCAATCTCTGACACTTTCTCAAGGCCTCAGGCAGGTCCTTCCTCTGTAACACCCTGCTGTCATTGCTTAAAGAGTAATGGGCTGCCCAAATAGGAAAAAGTAGTTAATTGGTGTCTCCTGGCTAATATAATCTTCTAAATAAGTGATGCATCTGTCAATATTTTCCCACCTAGTCTTTGGAAAAGGCAGGACTAGCCCAGCTTTCAGGAAAGTGAAGAGATTTGAAATCTTGGTGGATATTATTCACCTTGTTAACAAATTATACAAGAGTCTTTATAATACATACCCAATCTGCTCTTTTATGTGCTCTTAAGAATAAACATAGGAAGGTCAGAGCAGTGTTCCCAGTAACAGATTTTCTGAAGATCGTAAAAAGAATTGAATTGGAACAAGAGGACCCGTTTCAGGGATATTCCAGAGCCCTTCTTTACTTACGTTTACAGTCCACTCCTTTTTTTTTCTTATCATCATGTGCATAAGGTAGAGGTCAACTTTTACCAACCAGTTCTGTCCTTAGTTAATCTGCTCTGGTTGGTAGCCTATAAGTCGGTTCCTTCAGGTTTTTAATATGCCTTGGCTCAAAGTCTCTCCGTTTTCTGGGGCTATCAAAATAAGGTTTGTTAAGGAAGCCTATTGGCAATCTTGCAGTGTGGCCCAGGTAAGTCTCACAGCTAATAATTGTGCCTGTTCTAAGATCTCAATGCTCTCTCTTTTTTTCCCCCCTGCTGATCACTTTGATTCTCCACTGTATGCATTTACAGTGAAAATTATTTAATTTATTTGGCTGATCTTGACACCCTCCCATGACTCCAGTACTCACAGAAGCATGCTAATAGAGATTTGCTGCTTAGTGCTACCACAGATGGCGCTACATTTCCTCATTGAGAGAAACTTTTGAAAAGCTTTGCTTATCTGCCCACACTAGCTGCTGAGGAGTAAATATAGTTGCTGTGGAAGATACTGCCTAGGTGAGTAAGCTCATCAACAGTACTCAAAGGTCTTCCTTCTAAAATGGTGGAATCCTGGGTGGATAATTGACTTTTAAAACTTTAGTTTTAGATTTGTTTGATCACAAGATCTAATTGTTTAGCAGCAATAATGTTTTGCTTCATTTAATTTATGGATGCGTATGGAGATAGCTATCATTAGAAATATCTTGGTTTCTAAGAAGAAAGAATGATCTCTCACCAGTTTAGTCCCTTGGATCCCTTTCCCTTTTCCTAGGTGTTTTTACGATGAGCCCTTTTTCCTGTTTTTTCCGTGGCAAATTGTCTCCTCTATGTGAAGAGAAATGCCACTGAAACTCTGTGCTGCTTATTTTGAGCATGTCTGTAATGATCTTATCCTGCCCTGCTGCCTTTTATAGTGCTCTAGTTTGTTGACAGCTGTTAAGCTCTTCCAAGGTGATTTCTGTACAGTTAACATCGAATTCTTCTATTGTTGTCAAAGTTGAATTTTGTTAGGTGGAGGTTTGCTTAATATATAATGAAAGCACATTTCCCATTTCTTTGTTTGGTCTTCAGGGTGGTGAGATTTCCATGTTTATCTTTTACTGATCAATTGTAACTATGACCAGAATTACCTGTGAGCCTTTTTGTAGCTTGGTAGAATTCATATATGTTTCCTGATTCATGGTGACAAGTCAACTAAACTTTTGGACTACAGAAACAACTTTTTTTATCTCAGTCAAGATTTCTCTCAACAAAGGAAATACTACTGCGGTCAGATCCCAAAAAGATTTTGCAGACAAGTTTACTAAAAATGTGTTTTCTCCCCCATGACTTGCAAGCCTTTGTAGTCTCTGCTCTGTTTTCATCCTCTGCTCCCTGTTTCATGTGCCATAGAGGCTTCCATTTGAAGTTTCTTATCTGAAGACATTTTTGTCTCTTCTCTTCCTGGCTAAATAAGTGAACTTTCGAAGTGGGGAGGTACTTCATAGAAACAGAAAATGTTTTTCTTCTTTTCTCCCCCTTTTCAGGCCTGCCAATATATTGCTGTTATATCCATTATTCTAGTTCTAGAGAACAAGAGGTCCTTCAGTTTTTGTTCAAGTTCCTTTTGGGGATATTAAAAGAAAATATCAGGGCTAATTTTAATGTAGCAATAATAAGGTCCTTTACTTTAAACAGATAAACCAGCCCTTCTGGCTCAGATTGCTTCTCAAGGGTTTTTGTGATCTATCTGACTGAAGAGACTGTTTCTCTGTTCCCTTACATTTATGTCACTGATGCGCTGTGATATGCAGAATCGAGAGAACAATTACCAATGTCAAGCAGTATTCTTCAAACTTTATTCCTCAAACTGTCTCAAA